TCAGTCACATCAGAATCATTTAGTAAAATATTACATATTTCATAATATTCATTTGGTACCAAAAAAATTCCTTAATTTTATATTCTTGATTCAAGATCATTCTTATAACTAATATGAATAAATTAATCAAATTCACAAACTCAAAAATAACAGATAATCAAAAAGAATAGAAAAGAGTAATAAGAAAATAAATTCAAAATATCAGCTGTAGATAAAAATAAATAAGAAAAAAAAATTAGGAGAATGAGATTTTCTCCTAATATTACCTTCCTATTTTATTCTCTTACTTTCTTCTTCTTCTCTTTTCTGTTTCCTTTTTCTTTTCTTTCTCTTTAGTGTTTCTGTTTCTCTTTTTCTTTCTTCCCAGTATTATATTTTCTCTTTTTTTCTTTTTTTTTTCTTTCTTTCTTCGTCGGGTGCATACCTATTTATATAGATAAATGTTATGATTCTATTGACTAAAGTAATTATTACATACAGTTAGATTTTAACAAAACCAACTAAAATTTAGTTAAAATCTAACTAACATTTAACTATGTAATCATTACCTAAAAAAATCTTAAATATTTTTATCTTTGTCTTTGAAGGATGTCTCCACGTGGTACCATTACGTTTTATTAGATTAATATGACGCTACTGGAGCCACTTTTCTTTTCAAGGTATGGCACTTTAAGCGCCCCGAAAGAAACAAAATGCCCTTGTTAGCGCTAATTTTATTTGGTGGTGGCGCATTAGGTGCCCACCCTAGAAACATAGTGGCGCTTCAAGGGCCACTTATTTTATATACATATTATTTTAATATTTTAATATTTATTTATTTATTTATTTTTATTATTATTTATTTTGGAATCATTATTTTTATTATTATATTATTTCATATATTATTATTTTTTTTTATTTTAAACATGACGCTATCAATGCCTAATAACTTCTTGGAGCCTTTGGCGCCCCTTGCCCATATATATTGGCGTTTTAAGAGCTTATTTGGATAGACTTTTAAAAAAAATAACTTTTTTTACATTGTTTTTTTTTAAAATAACTTTTTTTTAAAGGTAAAGTTATTTTATATTTGAATGTATAATCTAAAACTTACTTTTACATAAAAAAAAAATCATTTGGATGTTAAAATAAAAAAGAACTTTTTATATACTAAATTACAAAAAAAGGACATTAATAGGAGAGCATTAATGTTGTATTAAATTTCTTTTTTGTTCTGTGGCTTAGTTTCTGTGTTTATTTTATTGCTTCTATGATTGTGGCTTGAAAAAACAAAGGAAGAAGAAAATAATCAAGACCAAAGAAAAAAGAAGAACCAAAAATAGCAATTGTGGGATGAGAAGAGACGAAAGAAAACGATACGTTAAAGAAGAAGACGTAGGAATGAAAATAAAAAAGAGGGAGATGTTTGATTGTAAAATAATAGGTTGTTGTAGCTAACATAAAAAAAAAAACATGATCATGGGATAGAGAGAGATAATGAGCTGATAGGATAAGGTTAAATTTGTATTTTAAAAATTTATATTATCTTTTAGATTTTATTTTTTGTTCGAAAGCAACTAATTATTGGCTAATAAAAAGCATCATTTTAATTTTTATTTTAAATTTTACTTTTTTAAAAAGTTGTTATCCAAACCTAGGTTACTTATGCATGTGATTGTCATTTAGTTCATTTTTCCACGTGAGACTTCTTCATACTAGGTTTTATTCCCAACATTGTTATTGTGAAGTTTTTTTCTGTAAGTTCTTTTATAATTTTTTTTAAAAGTATTTGCAAAGTTATGCATAGCGGAAGCAAACAAAAAAAGAGTTGATAATAAAGTAAAATGAAAAATATGGTTTTAATTCTAAGAAGAAAACGCGGAAGAAAAAAAGAAGAAGCTGTTTTGAATAAAATAATTTCCTTTGAGTATTACTTAAAAAAATATCCAGGAAAGGGCAAATGATTCCCATGAAGGTCATAATAGGCGCTTGGTTACTCGGTTATGTTATTTTTTACCAATGACGTTAAATCTGAACCGGTTATCAGTTTATCGACTCGGTTAGAGTATTGGGTCAGTGACTTACTGATTTAACTTGTGAGTGATTGAATTGCATGACCGAATATATATAAATTTATATTCTATATTCAAAATTCCTTTATAATAACAACATCTCGAGCGCTGACGAGGGCGGAGAATGATCGACTGTGCGAAAGGGCATGGACAACAACAGACAACTTCCAGCGGGGGTTATATGAATGAATCGAATCGATACTCGAAAGAGAGGATTCCAAAGACTAATTAATATGAGACTGCACAGTTTGAGATAACTTATAAGAATTAATCGGTACTATTTATACTAACAAGATGCAACTGCTTTTCGGTAACCTGGAACGGAAGACTCCACCGTTAAGCGTGTTTGACTTGGAGCAATTCTGGGATGGATGACTTCTTTCGAAGTTTTCCCAAGAAATATACTAGTGAGGATAAAGTACGCTGAAAAGTCCAGTATTAATGTATGAAGATAGTCATTGATTCTTGAAGCAATCGAGCACTAAAAGTGTATGGGATAATCATTAATTCTTGAAGCAATCAGACATTACAAATGATATCAGAGCAGATCTCTCTCAGTATGATTTTCACCGAATTGATTGTACGGTCTCTCCATTTGCAAACTCGAATTGGTTAAATCGGATCGAGAGTTTAATAACACTGTTTTCTACGATTCCATAACTCGATGATATTTTTGTATGCTAGAAGACAACATTGAACTGTTCAAAGTAATATATACCACATATAACTAGATCTAAAGGCTAAGAGATATGTTATCAAAAAAAAAAAAAAAAAAAGGCTAAGAGATAATGATGATGAATAATAGAGAGGACAAACTAAAAGCTAAGTGATAATATAGGATTGCTTTTTGCCGTTTGAAATATCTTGCGTGTTTGTTCTAATCGTTTTTTACAATCCTGTTTAAAGGGTCGGACAAGACCTCTCTTTCGGCCCATACAAGTCCTGAAATATTATAGTATCTCTTAAATACAGTAATAAGGGTGATTCGATTAAAAGTATAAATAATATAAATCAACAATAATAATATTTTCACATAAAAAAAAAATAACATTATTTTTACACTATTTTTAATAAGAAAATAAATAAAACACACATTAATTCTAATACATTCTTTTTCTATCTTTTTGTCCCCAAACTAGAAAGGTAAGGAAATGATATAATATATTTTGGTGTGTATGCATTTAATTACCATATGAAAACCACAAACTAATTAATGGGTCATTTGGAAAGAATGTTAGAGAATAATATAAATTATTAATAAGAATCTCATTCAATGTCTTAAAGTTTTGAGTTGAAATGATTCTTTATATGGTATCAGAGTTTTCTTGAATACAAGATTACGAATTCGATCGTCACTGCCTCTTACTTGTGGAATTAGACAAGTATACGGTAAACCAAAAAAAAAATTAAGTCTATACAATATTCACACTTTAAGTCTAAAGGGCTTTTGTGTGAGGTAGTAAGTTAGAGAATAATATAAAAAGATCTTCACTCAACACTTTAAAGATTTGGATTGAAGTAATTCTTTACGAAAAAAAACCCTTTTCAAGAAATTGTTTATAAAATGTTACAACAAAAAATCAAATTGTAAATAAAAATATATTTTAGCCAAACAATTTTATATTGGTTGTCAGAACGTCTTTCATTATCTAGGACAATTTACTCGGCAAAAAAATTAAAATATTACACTTTTAATAATAAATACGAATAGGTTGCAGATTAGAAACTATCTACGGATCTATTACAGTCATTCACGCCCAAAATGGGCGGGACAATTCACGCCCATGCAAGGCGTGAATTCCACGTCATTCACGCCCAAAATAGGCGTGACTAATCACGCCCCATGAAGGCGTGAATCAAGGGAAATTCCAGCCCATTTTGGGCGTGAATGACACCTATTTTTCCTATATAAACACCTCTCATCTCCACATTCATCACAACTCTTCTTCATCTTAACTTCTTAGTCTTCGATACAGTCTCACTTGCTTATGCATACTCTGTTTTGTGTTTTTCTTTATTAATATAGTTAAGAATGAGTAGTTCACATTCTGATTTTGTTCGTGTTGTTTTATATTATAATAGTAGAAAAATAGAAGATCGACATGGTGTCATTTTTGAAGGAGAGAAAAGGCTAACACGTATCATGCGGAACTCAACAATTAGCGAAGTACATCAAAAAAATTCGTCAAAAGTTAGCGCTTGAAGGTAAACAATCTATCAATATGGTCACTGTAAGAATATGGTGTGAATCACAATACATTAGTATGCAAGTTGTTGACGATGAAGACTTAGAAATGGTAATCGGAGAGTTTTTCAACCAGTCAAGGAAAGATTTTTTAGAGTTATACGTGGATATTGCCGAAACAGATGATGTTGCTATACCCGTGAGGTCAGTGGATTTAAATTTTGCACATAATGCATCATCATCTGCTGCTCCAGTTGGTAATCTGTCTAAGGAAGGAGAAAATGATCTTACCTGGGTTATGGAAGATGATGGTGAGGATGACGATGATGAAAATATTGCCATGGAAGATCAACTTCTTGTTGAGGATGCTAGCGCTTCAGACAACGATGATGAATGTGGTATTCCTGACACTCAAATCCTAGAATATAATGTTGTGGGTGAGTCTCATGTCCAGGAACATGATAATGTCGCGTCCACTCAGTTACTGCCAATTTTGGAAGGTAAGTAAATGGCTGAAAATATACATTTATATTTGCAGCTTTTTGGGTTTTAATGTTTAATTTGTACTTGCAGGTGACGATGTTGTTCCATTTTGGAAAGACATTCCATATTACACATACATTAATTAGGATCATCCGAGGGAGCAAGATTTAAGTCACGGCAGTTCAAGTTCTGGCTCAGGCTCAGGTTCAATTAATGGTCCGTGGATATTAGGTAACAAGTTGTATGTTAAGCAAGAATTTGAATCAAAAAAGGAGGTGCAGATGGCAATTAAGAGAAACCTAATGAAAGAGCATCAAGAAGCGATCGTCCTTGAGAGCACGCCTACCAAATTAAGTATGAAATGTTGCAAGTATGAACAGGGTTGCCAGTGGAGGGTTAGGGTAATAAAACCAACATACGGTGAAAAATGAAAGGTTACTAAATGGGGTGGAGACCACAATTGCTTGAATGATCATATTTCTCAGGGTCATAGACAGCTTGATGCCCATGTGATTGCTTCACTCGTACTAGGTATGTTATTATATTATTGCCTATTTTGTCAAGGAAATTGAATTTATAGTTAGAGTTTAAGGTTTAATGTCAAACTACAATATGATTGTTAGGAATGATACGAAAAGAGCCATCAGTCTCAATTTCACTTGTTCAGGAGAGGATCACCCATGTGTATGGTTTCAAAGTTTCTTACAGAAAGGCATGGTATGCAAAACAAAAAGCAATGGCGATCATGTATGGGGATTGGGAGGAGTCTTATGCATTTTTGCCTAGGTGGTGTGAATATATGCTTCGCTTTTCTCCAGGTTCTGTTTATAATATTCAAACAGATGATTATTTTGTTACAAACCGACTGGTACGTGATAAACGAGTGTTTCATCGCATATTTTGGACTTATAAACAATGTTGTGAGGCTTTCAATTTTTGCAAACCAGTAATTCAAATCGATGGCACTCATTTGTATGGAAAGTATAAAGGGAAATTATTGATTGCCACAGCTCAGGATGGAAATGCTGAATGTTTGCCATTAGCATTTGCAATTGTTGAAGGCGAGACTTTGGAAGCATGGCAGTACTTCCTTGATAACATTCGTCGTCATGTCACGCAAAAGCAAAACATATGTCTCATTTCAGATCGGCATCGAAGCATATTATCTGCTGTGGAGAGTCATCGTGGTTGGCAGCCACCACATGCCCAACATGTGTTTTGCCTTCGCCATATTGCAAGTAATTTTAATCAAAAGTTTCGGAACGAAAAATTGAAGAAGACGATTATGAATTTGGGTATGTTTTGGTCTCTTTTTTATGATGATGTTTGACATTATTATTCATTGCAAAAAATTATTTAATCTTTTTATCTTTTCAGGTTATACTCCTTCTGAGGTTGATTTTGATATAGCCTTCGTAAAATTTCGTGACATTAGTCCTGAGATTGCAGATTGGATTGATCAGATTCCAAAGGAAAAGTGGACGCGGGCATATGATGTCGATGGACTTAGATATTGACATATGACAATAAACTTGTCTGAATCTGTTAACAGGGTTTTGAAGGGTGCAAGAAACATGCCAATAACTGGTTTGGTTAAGCATACATATAGCAGGCTAGTTCATTATTTTGTGGAAAAAGGTCAAGCGGCTGCAGCACAACTTCATGCTTCAAATCGTCATTGCAAAAATATAGTTGAAGCCATGAAGTTTAATGAGTCCCTTGCAACAGGTCACAATGTGCGTACATACAATGTTGATGAAATTGTATTTGAAGTGGACGAGGGTTATGAGAGGTCGTCTTCTGTCAATCTTCCACAGAAATATTGTCAATGTGGAAAGTTCAAGGCTTTCAAGTACCCATGTAGTCATGCCTATGCAGCGGCATTAAGTGTTCGGCGAAATGCGTTTGGATATGTGGACGATGTGTTCTTGACAGAGAATTTGGTTCATGCATACTCATTTCTGTGGCAGCCAATTGGTAACGAGGCTGCTATTCCACCTTCGGTAGGTGTAGTTATCATACCCGACCGAACTATGTTGCGTGCAAAAGGCCGTCCAAAGTCAACTAGGATACGCAACGAGATGGATGAAGTTGAAGCCAGTCAAAGTCGAATTAAGTGTGGTGTTTGTAAGCTACCTGGGCATAATCGCCACTCTTGTCCTAATCGTTTACCTAATCAGTGATGGACATAAACATTTGTAATCATGAGTGCTAGTCACCTTTTACGTGGCTTTATTATGTTGCATTATCCCAGTACCATGTTTCGTTAATATAGTAATGATGAAAAATAAATAACATGCAAGATAAACAACGATGAAAAAGGAATAACAATCTGTGATAAGCATGCAGTCCATGAAATATACATGAATAAAAGTGTCAAACATATATCACTGCCAAAAAATATGGTGTCCTAGTACATAACAAACTACGATGGTGGAGGTCATTTCCTGTCCTGTGCCTGACAAGGAGGCAAAAATCTGCGTCTAGTAGCTATATGTGGGCCAATGTCGGGATCGGCTGGGCCTGGAACGACATCTGGAACTGCCTCTGGTGCTGACTCTGGCTCATGTTGTGATGCTTCCTCCTGTTCTGGTCCTGGACCAGATGTTGTCACGGGTTGTATAGGAGATGACGTAGACGCATGGTAAGCAGGTGGAGTGGCATCTATAGGCTGATACATTGGTTCCCAATCAGGTGTCAACTCTGGGTCCCAATACATATTCTCCATCAGGTCTTTAACATCTCCATGTGACCATGGCTGGTAATCCTGAATGCTAGTCTCAGCCTGTGTGGTTGACACGTAACCAGGTGCGTTGTGGACTGGACTAGCCTGATACACTGGCTGACTCTGGGAGTCTATGGGTGGACCATGTGTACCAGTCTGCGAAGGGAAAAATGGCACATCCTCATGCTGAAGAGGACCATAATAAATGGGTTGAGAATCAAATGTCTGCCCCATCATTGGGGGCCTGAAGTATCCAGACATATCTATGCGTGGCCTAGGGGCATGTATAGGCTCCGGAAGTGGTGCCACTGCCTCTCGACGGCGTCATAGCCCTCGTCCCTCCTGTCTATGTGTAGGAATGTCAAGCGATATCTGAGGCTCATCCTGTGTCTGGGTCGGGGGAGCCTGTGATCCTGGCTCCTCCACCCTGGACGACTCCCTGAATACAGAAATTAAGCGCCCAATCTCCTCATGAACCCATTCTAAACCGAAGCTCTCAAAATGCTCAGGAGTAATCGCGAAGTATAGCATCTCCAGACCATCAATCTACAATACAAAAAAATAAGTGCAAGTAAAGGCTGAAATTTAATAAGACAGTGTCAATAAATGAAAAAATTAAGCAAGTAAGAGACTGTAAAAAACATACACTACGTCTAATCTTCGCTGCCCTCTGGATACATAACGCTTGCCTCGTAGCCTATACCAATTCATATACTCGTGGTTTGGTGACATCAGCCCTGCCAATGGGGGGAGGCAACTGTCCTATGTGTTGAGCCCTTATCTACCATCTATGTATAAATGGCCTGAGCTTAACTTGCCAGTTATCAGGCCATTTACCTCGAAGCGTGTGATCATGAACCCTTTTGAGCTTTCTAGGCCTCAAAGAGATCGGCTGGTCTAAACCAAACTGTCTCAAGCATCTATCTGGTTGGCACTGCTCAACATGATGAAAACATATGATCGATGTCCTAGCCAACCAAAGATATCGCTCATCTGCAGGTATGTCCAAGAAATGATAGTCTCCGTTCGGCTGCCAAACAACCTACAAAAAATATGATGAATTTCCATAACGTAATAATTTGGCAGCAAGTGAAAATAATAATCATAATTTGTCCAAAAAAATATAACATACCTTGTCCCTAGTCAACGTGTCTAGAGTCCCCCGATATAGAACCTGATGTTGTGGTTTAAAGCGGGCTAAACCATTAAACCTGTTATGGGAAAAATGAAAATATGCACGATTATTAATAATTTGTTACAGATAAATTACAATAATTTGTTACACATAAATTAAAGTATAATTCAAGTACAAATGACACATACCGGTGCCCGAAGTGCCACTCTGGGTGGGTAGGCTGAGGAAGAGGAAGAGCAATAGGAGGAAATCTGGTCCACGCCCATATCTGGAGCAGTATATGACATCCACCCATGTCTGATCTGCGGGGTCTGTAAGCTCGCATAATTGTCTAAGCAAATGTGCGAGAACAGCAGATCCCCAACTGTATTGTCCAATGTCATCGAAACCTCCTGCAAGCAACGCAATGTAGCGACATCCAACGACGCTACCTCCAGATTTGTAGCATAGAAGCCATGATCCCAACATACGCGCAATGTGTGCCTTAGTAAAATATATAACCTGCTGTGGATCCGCAGCAACGGCAGCGCAATGCGCATAATGTCTGTCTAAATATGCGAGCTTGACATCCCCGTACGGCTGCTCTGAAACGAGCGGGGCGTGACCAAGCACCTCTCCGCACAGGACTCGCCAGTCCATGGATGTAGCACTGTAACCACTTTCCCATCAGTCGGCAATCCCAATATAGCCGCAACATCCTGCAACGTAATGGTCATCTCGCCCTGCGTCAAGTGGAACGTGTGTGTCTCTGGTCTCCACCTCTCCACCAGAGCACTGATCAGCGCAGTGTCAATCTAAAATAAATGCAGACATTTATTATCAAAATAAACTTGTTTAAGCATACACTTAGTATATAACATTTATTATTAAATAAAAAGTCACATGACCGGTACTTTCTTATATGCGTACCTGAATATGCCGCATGCGGGCGACATGCAGGAAGCCAGCCTGCTGCAGGTAGTCTGCCACGACATCAGGAATAGCATCAGAAGATGACCCCCCTTGATAACAATGCGTCGTGTCTTGCACTGGTGACACTTCTCCTCGTTCCACACAACCTGTGAAACGTGTTTGCGCTGCGTGCGCCTCCTAAGTACGTCCCACCTGTATGGTCCTGGAAGCACATGCGTCCTGGGATCCAAAGGCTCGGCCTGGGTCTCAGTATCGGATGTAGACCGAGGTGACTCCGACGATGACGAGTCAGCCATAATAGTGTACTATACAGAATAATAAATTAATTGGTTTCATTAATATATTCAAAAGTCATTACATTAATTACATGTGTTACAAAAATTAACTAATTACATGTGTTACACAAAAATTTTAATTTACATGTCCTTTAAAAAAATTAATTACTTGTGTTACAAAAAATATTAAATTACATTTGATACAAAAAAAATGGCAATTTACATGTGTTAACAAAAATATTAAATTACATTACCTACAAAAAAAAATGGCAATTTACATTTGTTCACATTCACTATTGTATTCCACAGTCGCTATTATATTTCTAAGTCACTATTATATTCCTAGGGTTTAAGACACTATTATTAACATATTCCTAGATCACTATAATAACAGTTATATGCAACACCCTAAATTACTATTATAACATGTATCATATTATAAATAACTATTTGATAAAACAGATATGAAGACTTACTTGTTCGACAGGGCTTCACCGCGCAAAATGCTCCACAAATAATCTAGAGAGAAGGCAGAGCAACTTTAGAGAGAAGTTAGAGAGAAGGAGTGAGAGGAAAAAGTGGCAATTTTGCGGTTTATATAGGGCAAGCAATTCACGCTTGGCTTGGGCGTGAATTGTCACGCCTCCTTAGGGCGTGAATTCAGGGCAATTTCTGCCTCACTTGGGCGTGACTTCTCCCGCCCTTTTTGGGCGTGAATGACTGTAATAAATTCGTAGATAGTTTCCAAACTGCAACTATTCATAATTAACTATTAAAAGTGTAATTTTTTAATTTTTTCCCCAATTTACTCACACTAAGTACAAACCATCATCAATAATTTCTGTCCTTTATCGAGCTTCGTGGCTCCGGATTCCTTCTTTTTATAATTAATTTCGACTAGATGCAAATAGTTATCGTTAATTTCAAATTAATTTAACGGTAAGCAAAGAATTAATAAAAGTGATAGATTTAAAATGGTTATAAATATAACTACAGAAATCATACTCCCATGCCATAGGAGAGCAATTTTTTTCCTACACTAATTCATTTTCCGTGTCATTTAATTTTCTTTTTCTTTCATAATATAAAATATGGGACTCACATTTAATTTGTCTCTACTTTTTTTATCTCATGCAATCCTACAACATAAGAAAATATGAACCCATATAACTATACCTTTATTTTTTTTCCTTTGTTGAATGAAATAGATTTAATCATTTATCTCAAGCTTCGAATGCTAAATATGCATTTTATTACCACATGTGAATAATTGATTTAGTTTGGTGGATTGGTAATTAATTTTTTAATTAATGAGATAGTATGATTAATTAAATAATTAATTATTTTTCTTCTTTTTTTTGGAATATTTCAATCGATTCATCGCTTCGCAACTAATCCGATTCAGGGCGAATCCCTAGATTCAGTGGCAGACTGACACTAGTGCCTATGTCTGCACATGCAGACACAAAACTTTAAGAATTTTTTTTTTTAAAGGGGTGGGTGATTTAGGTAAGTAAAAAAAAATTTAGGAAGATTGAAAAAAAAAGTAAACATAAGACCAATCATGGTAGTTAAAACTGGAATCTTACCTAAAATTAGAAGGAGGATAAAAAATCATAAAATCGTAAAAGTGTTTGGAATTTTGATGAAATCGTTTTGATTAAAAAAATCGTAAAATCATAAAATCACATATTTAAATAGGGATTTTAACTAACATAGGCTCAACCCAACCAATCCTTATAATTAAAAGCTTAAAGCTTAAACCCTACCCCATTGCTTTGTTTCTTCTTCTTTTTTTGAAACATAAATCTTATTAGCTCCAAACCTTAATAGACATCGATGATTCCTGAAATTCAATCTTCATCAAGTGGAGGAGAATCGTATGGGATTTTTCACGTTTTTTTGTGAAGCAAAAGTGGCCAACTTTGGATCAAATAAATATCAACAGAGGTGGATTTTTTATCATTATTTTTTGTATGTTAAGTTAAAGTTTTCTTTTATTGCTTATATATTTTTTAATACATTTAAAATTTTCTTTTAAAAAAATCTTCGGCGGTTGTTAAAATCGGGATTTTACCTAAAATTGAAAGGAGGATAAAAAATCGTAAATCGTAAAATCTTAACGTAACAAAAATC